TTTTTTTTTTTTTTTTTTTTTTTTTTTTTTTTTTTTTTTTTTTTTTTTTTTAACTAAACCACCACTACCTTTCCAAGTTGTAGTCCCATTTGGGAAAATGACCTTGTCCGAAAAGCTCAGGGGTCCGGCGTAGGGTCGGTAGGAAAACAAAAAAAACAAAAAAAACAAAAAATTGGGACCCCACGGTCCCGCAGTGAGGGGGGGAAAAAAAAAACCCTAAGAACTTTGAAATCAGCGACTTCAGGGCCCTCACGAGGTGGAAGTCACAGCAGTGCTCTGAGGAATGTATCTGGCCAGCATGTGGGGAATGTGATTGCTGATCTTTTGGTTTTTGTTTTCCTAGTTTTCGTTTCTTATTGGTGCCCTGCCCGTGAGGCAGGGCGGATTCCACTGGGGGCAGCCAACTGCCTCACTCACATCATACTCGCACCTGCACTGTAGCATCCTGTGTTGGACCGCGATAGCAGCATAAGGGAAGTGTTTTTCTTTTGGTCCTTCATTCGTTTTTCATACGGACAGATGCCCTCACTGAGGGCACAGTCTCAACAGCACCTCATAGAATGTATCTGATGGCTATCACGGCGTGTGGGGAGGTTTCTTTTTTTTTCCATCTTCTTTTTTTCTCAGAACTTCGAAACCAGCGACTTCCGGGAAGTCCCTCACGAGGTGTAAGTCACACCAGTGTTCTGAGGAATGTATGTGGCCAGCATGTGGGGATCGTGATTGCTAATGTTGTAGTTTTTGTTTTCCTGCTTTAGGTTTCTCATGGGTGCCCTGCCCGTGAGGCAGGGCGGATTCCATTGGGGGCAGCCAACTGCCCCACTCACGTCATACTCACACCTGCTGTAACGAGCGTGAGGCTGAGGGTGAGCCGATGGAGAGGAGAGAGAGGGAGAGAGCGAGAGCACACACACACACTCACTCACTCGACACGTCGGACTCGGACTGAGGATCGGACGCAGACACAGTGGCAAGGCACCAAGTCGAAGTCTTGGATTCCGAATGTCGAAACAGCAAGTCACATTGAGTACGAGTACAGCAGCAGAGAACTGGTACGAGACTGGTCCCCGTACCGTACGGGGAGCCGGTATAAGTACCGGTGACACGTACGGTACCAGGGGCATTTCTGCAAAGGCTCCGAGGGCAGAACTGAAAAATGCAGTATTTGAAAGTGGCGCTCGAATTGCAGCATGGCGCCAGTTGTCCAMAATCCTACGGTACCAAAGGAGGGGTTTGGGAAAAGGGTGCCAGGCCGAAAACGGGATGCAGCTGAAACAGCAAAAGATAGACCAGGGATCGAGCCCTGGCGGAGTCCGTAACACTTACCCCTCCCTCTAGAAGGCAACGTCCCGGCTGCCAAAAATCATGAAACAATGCTGAAATCTGTGAAGGACGGGACGGGGCCGATCACTGGTTAACAAGTCGAAAGGGAAGAGGGGTATAATGTGGGTGGCAGGGGCTGCGGGAGTAAGAGGGAACAGGGTTTGATACCGGTGATCAGAGTTGTCCTACTGATGAACTAGGGGGGGTTGCGAGGAACAGGGTAGTCCTACGAATGAAATATAGGGACGACAGGGAGAAGGGTGGTCCTACTGATGAACTAAGGGGACTCATGGTTCGCTATAGGTTAAGGGGGAACAGAGTTCAGGGCACAGGGAAACTTCTATTGATGTTCTACTGGGTAAGGGAAACGGTGTTCAGGAAAACAGGGTATTTCTATTGATGTTGTAGTGGGTAAGGGAAACAATGGTCAGGGGAACAGGGGATGTCTATTGATGTTCTAGTGGGTTGTCAAAGTCAGAAAATGTTTGTTCAGGGTGCGAAGGCTGGTGTGTCCGAAGGAGTCGGAAGCAGAATCTCATGTAGGAACAAAGTGTCCA